GTTGAGACAGACAGGAGCGACCTGTTCTAAACCCATGTTGCCCTGGGTTGTGTAACTGATGGGTTTCTAGATGGGTGGTGATCTTGCTTCTTAGGACCCTTTCAAAGATTTTTATGATATGGGATGTTAGTGCTATTGGTCTGTAGTTCTTTGCTGTTGCTTTACTGCCCCCTTTGTGGAGTGGGGCTATGTCTGTTGTTTTTAGTAACTGAGGGACGACCCCCGTGTCCATGCTCCCTCTCCATAGGATGGAAAAGGCTCGTGATAGGGGCTTCTTGCAGTTCTTGATGAACACGGAGTTCCATGAGTCCATGAGTGATTTTCGTGTGCAAGTTCGGTACTAGTCCTCCAATGTCGTCAGTCCGATTTCCCTTAACCTTTCCTCGTACGACATTCCCTTGAGCTCTGGGACTAGCCTTGTTGCAAACCTTTGTACTTTCTCTAACTTCTTGACGTGCTTGACCAGGTGTGGGTTCCAGACTGGTGCTGCATACTCCAGTATGGGCCTAACATACACAGTGTACAGTGTCTTGAACGATTCCTTATTAAGGTATCGGAACGCTATTCTCAGGTTTGCCAGGCGCCCGTATGCTGCAGCGGTTATTTGGTTGATGTGTGCCTCCGGTGATGTGCTCGGTGTTATGGTCACCCCAAGGTCTTTCTCCCTGAGTGAGGTCTGTAGTCTTTGTCCACCTAGCCTATACTCTGTCTGCGGTCTCTTTTGCCCCCCCCCCAATCTTCATGACTTTGCATTTGGCTGGTTTGGGAATTCGAGAAGCCAGTTACTGGACCACATGCCCCAGCCTGTCAGGTCTCTTTGCAGTCCTGCCTCATCCTCGTCCAATTTAATTCTTCTCATCAACTTCACGTCATCTGCGAACAGGGACACTTCGAGTCTATTCCTTCCATCAGTCGTTCACATATATCAAAAATAGGGACTGGTCTAGAAATGACCCCTGTGGGACCCCGTCGTAACAGGCGCCCACTGTGAACCTCTTCAGGGGTATGTGTATGAGTGTGTGTGTGTGTGTGTGTGTGTGTGGGGTGTGTTTTGTGTGTGTGGTGGTGGTGAGTATGAGTGTGTGTGTGTATGAGTGTGTGTGTGTGTATGAGTGTGTGTGCGTGTGTGTGTATGAGTTTGTGTATGTGTGTGTGTGTGTGTGTGTGTGTGTGTGTGTGTGTGTGTGTGTGTGTGAGAGATAAGATAAGATAAGATTTTGTTCGGATTTTTAACCCCGGAGGGTTAGCCACCCAGGATAACCCAAGAAAGTCAGTGCGTCATCGAGGACTGTCTAACTTATTTCCATTGGGGTCCTTAATCTTGTCCCCCAGGATGCGACCCACACCAGTCGACTAACACCCAGGTACCTATTTGCTGCTAGGTGAACAGGACAATAGGTGTAAGGAAACGTGTCGGAATTTCCACCCGCCGTGTGTGTGTGTGTGTGTGTGTGTGTTTATGTGTGTGTGTATGAATTTGTATGTGTGTGTGTGTGTGTGTGAGAGAGAGAGAGACTCAACAATCAACATTTGCACCAATAACTCACTACAGTTGTGACCGGGTGTGGAAGTGTGAATTGCTCATTACTCTAAAATTTGTTCATGATTGCAGCCATGTATACACGTAAGTAACCATTCTTACAGTATTCATTACCTTTGTAACTTGTGAGTTCATTACCTTTGTAACTTGTGAGTTCATTACCTTGTACCTAGTTCAGCCATCAAAACTTTGGGGCCCAGTCCCTGGACACATTACGTACCTCTGTAATCTGTAAATACCTTTGTAACTTGTCATGATTGTGACTAGACCTACCTGGAGTTCATTACCTTTGTAAATTGTGAGTTCATTACCTTTGTAAATTGTGAGTTCATTACCTTTGTAAACTGTGAATTCATTACCTCTGTAACTTGCTCAGCTATCAAAACTTTGAGGCCCAGTCCCTGGACCCATTATGTACCTCTGTAATCTTTTGACTACCGCCCACAGGATGGGTATGGGGTGCATAATAAACATATTAAACTAACATGTATAGGAGTGAGGCTGATTCATTACCTTTGTAACTTGTCATGATTGTGACCAGATCTACCTGAGTTCATTACCTTTGTAACTAGTTCAGCTATCATAACTTTAGTGTCCAGTCCCTGGACCCATTATGTACCTTTGTAATCTTTTGACTACCGCCCACAGGATGGGTATGGGGTGCATAATAAACATATTAAACTTAACTTATTCCACGTGTGCGACAACTGAATAATAACTCCATGTGTATCAAATTAAAATTTTGGAAGCTACTCTATAAATAAAAAATCTTTTGTTTCAGTGATACAAACAACGTCAAAAAATGCCCTGAACTTGATGCAATAACACGTAATGACTATAATCATCTTCCATGTCAGTTGTATATTAAACTGCTAGCTTATTCATATACTACCTCATTGTAATCTCAACCACCTTTTAACGTATAAAATATACTGGATTATGATCAAAATTAAATTTACATGATAGTACAGTATATAGGTCGTTAGTACTGGTTTTAGTCTGTCTGGAATACTTGGCATAACAAGGGGCTTAGTACATAGATGATGTGATCTAAGAACTGCATCAGATCTGAACACAAGCACACTATTAAAAACCATTCATTGTAATTTCCGTGATGTTTTAGAGAAATAAAGATCGTAGGTTTATTTAGGTACAGGTACACATGAATACAATTATACATAGTTTAACATATGTAAATCACCTAGGTTAACTCCAAAAAAAAAGTGAGTGCCTTGTTTCCTTTGGGGACCGTACTTAATTTTGTATTGCATTGTATAAGTCCTTGATTCCAGAGACTATCACCAACAACGCCGCACTTAATTTTGTATTGCATTGTATAAGTCCTTGATTCCAGAGACTATCACCAACAACGCCGCACTTAATTTTGTATTGCATTGTATAAGTCCTTGATTCCAGAGACTATCACCAACAACGCCGCATCCCTACCTCCTTCCATTGGAAAGATCATCAGACCAGAAAAATCTTAATAAGATAATCGCTAGCTTACAGTCTCCAAAGCACCTAAGAAAGTCTGTAGGCTTGGGCTAAAAAAAAATTAAGTCGTATTAAAATATATGATTGCTATTACTTCCAACAAACTCATTTTTTTTCAGTAACACATAACATGCTTTTAAGCCCCTAGAACATACATGGGTAGATGCGAAGATTGCTATTTTTGTAGTTATATCTGGGTATCCTTGGAGCAAGAGTAAAGAAATTGCTTTGTTTACCATTAAATTGGTTTGCAATATCCATTTTCTTTAATTCTTGCTCTTGGTGTAATTGTTCCCGTTTTTTATGTTCGTCGCACACTTACTGGACAGTATTGATTGACGATAGTAAGTTTATTCAGGTATACACAAATACAGTTACGTAGATTATCATACATGTGTAGAGAACATGTGATAACCCAAAAAAGTTAGTGACTTATTTCCATTGGGTCCTTGTATTACCTTATTTATTATACTATAAAGGAGATAATGTCTTATTATTGTACTATAAATGAGATATACGTACTAGGAATAAGCTAACACGTGTGTTAGCTAAAAATAAAAAAAAATAATTCTTCCTTTCTGTCGCTACATTCATTAGGTACCTTTTTGGTTCTCTTCTTGAACTGGTTCATGCTATGACTGGCTTTGACGTATGCAGGCAGTCTGTTCCATTCCTTTACTGCTGTTCAATAAAAGGTGTTTGAAGCCTGGCCATTGACTGTGGGTACTACAAAGTTGTGCTCAGGGCAATTTAACAAAAAATATTAACCTGGGATGGCCCAACAAAGCCCAGTAGTATGACTTTTGTCCATCACTATTGTTCGGTTTATTGGGTTTTAAGCCTGTCGATTACACAATGGTCATTTAGGCTGTAAATTAGTTTATTAAAGTTCCTTACACAAGTTAAGATGTTTACAGTTGTCTTATATAATAACGTGTAACTTACCTAGGATAACCCAGTAAAGTCATAATGACTTCCTTTGGGGGTCATGTATACCACCAATCAAATATACTTTAACCCCTACAACGGATTAAAGGAAACTCAGCGTATAAATACTTTACACACCTCATTGTATGAAACCTGTCCTTATATTTCTTTCCTAAGAGATGACCTACATCAGTGACCCCAGGAAACAGCACATGTAACATCCAGCGTAAGACATTCTCCACATACATCACTCCCAGCCTGAAAGTCGAGTCCTGCAACAGTGAATTAAGGAACATAATGTTCACGTTTAGCCGTGACAGTTACAGCAGAAGGTGTAATACACAGTACCTGGCATGGTCATCTCATGGCACGGTACCTGGCATGGTAATCTCATGGCACGGTACCTGGCATGGTCATCTCATGGCACGGTACCTGGCATGGTCATCTCATGGCACAGTACCTGGCATGGTCATCTCATGGCACAGTACCTGGCATGGTCATCTCATGGCACAGTACCTGGCATGGTCATCTCATGGCACAGTACCTGGCATGGTCAACTCATGGCACAGTATCTGGCATGGTCATCTCATGGCACAGTACCTGGCATGGTCATCTCATGGCACAGTACCTGGCATGGTCATCTCATGGCACAGTACCTGGCATGGTCATCTCATGGCACAGTACCTGGCATGGTCATCTCATGGCACAGTACCTGGCATGGTCATCTCATGGCACAGTACCTGGCATGGTCATCTCATGGCATAGGATGAAGCTAGTTTGTTAGTGAAAGAGGACGACCAACAGAGTTAGTTTAATATCTTATTATGCACCCCATACCCATCATGTATGGGCTGTAGTCAAAAGATTACATAGGTAGATAATGGCTCCAGGGACTGTGCCGCAAAGTATAATCAGAAGCCGTGATAGTTATAACATAAACATTATTCACTATAACTGATTCTCGAAATCGAAAAAATACGATTGCAAACCAATCACAGAATGGGTGAGTCTTGAACCCATGTTTATATTTTCCCAGCAGGACGATGACCATCAAATATACCCCAGTCCAGCAGGGAGATATATTGACACCCACGACAGTGGAAAATCCATTTGAACTTCAACACCGGCCGGAGAACAACCATGGCACCAGAATACCCTCAAGAGATCCAAGTCTGGATAAGGACCCTCTGCTTATATATTTCTACAAGATGGACTTTGGTCGTGCCCAGGTTTGTTGAAAACCATATGTTTGCTATTTATGTTTAATTAAAGCCTATCGACTGCACGTGGGGTCATTAAGGTGCTGAGTTTATTGGGTTTGAAAGCCTATTCAGAATAATGACCCAAAAAAGTCAGTGTGATTTATTTTCACTGGGTGTATTTCTTAAAAACACAGACCTGAATAATGCTACAATACCTAAAATATGGATTAAATTAAACTCTTAATGTGTATACATTGTATATTTCAATATATATATATATATATATATATATATATATATATATATATATATATATATATATATATATATATATATGTATATATATATATATATATATATATATATATATATATATATATATATATATATATATATATATATATAATATATATATACATGTATATATATTGTATATATATCTCAATGCATATATATTGTATATCTCAGTACATATACATAGAGATATACATTTCTCAGTGTATTTGCAGATACATTTCTCTATATAAATTGAGACATACATATATCAATGTATATACAAAGAGGTATACAAAGGTCATATCCTGGAGCTCTGGCTGACGTGATCTAGACAACACCCGCTGGCAGTAATAGTTAAGCTGATCCATAACTCAGCAGGGTTGTATGAGTTTTTTTTTTTTTAAGTTTGTGCGTATAGTAGGATCTTTGTGGTATCCAGTTGTTGTTGGTTAAATTGACTCACTCGAATTACGTGTCCTTTGTAGCTGTATGTGTATGGATTAGCCTGGCTGGCTGCTGTGATCTCTGCTCCTGTGTACGTGGACTCAATCTTCCTCATCATGACCCTGCCTCACAGGTGAGTCTCCTTGATGAGTCTTGTCATGATATAGGTGAGTCATCTTGATGAGACTCCCTTATTATGACCCTCAGGTGAGTCTACTTGATGAGTTCCTTATCATGACCCTCACAGGTGAGTCTGCTTGATGAGTTCCTTATCATGACTCTCACAGGTGAGTCTGCTTGATGAGTTCCTTATCATGACCCTCACAGGTGAGTCTGCTTGATGAGTTCCTTATCATGACCCTCACAGGTGAGTCTGCTTGATGAGTTCCTTATCATGACTCTCACAGGTGAGTCTGCTTGATGAGTTCCTTATCATGACCCTCACAGGTGAGTCTGCTTGATGAGTTCCTTATCATGACCCTCACAGGTGAGTCTGCTTGATGAGTTCCTTATCATGACTCTCACAGGTGAGTCTGCTTGATGAGTTCCTTATCATGACCCTCACAGGTGAGTCTGCTTGATGAGTTCCTTATCATGACTCTCACAGGTGAGTCTGCTTGATGAGTTCCTTATCATGACCCTCACAGGTGAGTCTACTTGATGAGTTCCTTATCATGACTCTCACAGGTGAGTCTGCTTGATGAGTTCCTTATCATGACTCACAGGTGAGTCTGCTTGATGAGTTCCTTATCATGACTCTCACAGGTGAGTCTGCTTGATGAGTTCCTTATCATGACTCTCACAGGTGAGTCTACTTGATGAGTTCCTTATCATGACTCTCACAGGTGAGTCTGCTTGATGAGTTCCTTATCATGACTCTCACAGGTGAGTCATCTTGATGAGTTCCTTATCATGACTCTCACAGGTGAGTCATCTTGATGAGTTCCTTATCATGACCCTCACAGGTGAGTCATCTTGATGAGTTCCTTATCATGACTCTCACAGGTGAGTCTACTTGATGAGTTCCTTATCATGACTCTCACAGGTGAGTCATCTTGATGAGTTCCTTATCATGACTCTCACAGGTGAGTCATCTTGATGAGTTCCTTATCATGACCCTCACAGGTGAGTCATCTTGATGAGTTCCTTATCATGACTCTCACAGGTGAGTCTACTTGATGAGTTCCTTATCATGACTCTCACAGGTGAGTCATCTTGATGAGTTCCTTATCATGACTCTCACAGGTGAGTCATCTTGATGAGTTCCTTATCATGACCCTCACAGGTGAGTCATCTTGATGAGTTCCTTATCATGACTCTCACAGGTGAGTCATCTTGATGAGTTCCTTATCATGACTCTCACAGGTGAGTCATCTTGATGAGTTCCTTATCATGACTCTCACAGGTGAGTCATCTTGATGAGTTCCTTATCATGACTCACAGGTGAGTCTGCTTGATGAGTTCCTTATCATGACTCTCACAGGTGAGTCATCTTGATGAGTTCCTTATCATGACCCTCACAGGTGAGTCATCTTGATGAGTTCCTTATCATGACTCACAGGTGAGTCATCTTGATGAGTTCCTTATCATGACTCTCACAGGTGAGTCTGCTTGATGAGTTCCTTATCATGACTCTCACAGGTGAGTCTGCTTGATGAGTTCCTTATCATGACCCTCACAGGTGAGTCATCTTGATGAGTTCCTTATCATGACTCTCACAGGTGAGTCTGCTTGATGAGTTCCTTATCATGACTCTCACAGGTGAGTCTGCTTGATGAGTTCCTTATCATGACACTCACAGGTGAGTCTGCTTGATGAGTTCCTTATCATGACTCTCACAGGTGAGTCTGCTTGATGAGTTCCTTATCATGACCCTCACAGGTGAGTCTGCTTGATGAGTTCCTTATCATGACCCTCACAGGTGAGTCTGCTTGATGAGTTCCTTATCATGACTCTCACAGGTGAGTCTGCTTGATGAGTTCCTTATCATGACTCTCACAGGTGAGTCTACTTGATGAGTTCCTTATCATGACTCACAGGTGAGTCATCATGATGAGTTCCTTATCATGACTCTCACAGGTGAGTCTGCTTGATGAGTTCCTTATCATGACTCTCACAGGTGAGTCTGCTTGATGAGTTCCTTATCATGACCCTCACAGGTGAGTCTGCTTGATGAGTTCCTTATCATGACTCTCACAGGTGAGTCTACTTGATGAGTTCCTTATCATGACTCACAGGTGAGTCATCATGATGAGTTCCTTATCATGACTCTCACAGGTGAGTCTACTTGATGAGTTCCTTATCATGACTCTCACAGGTGAGTCTACTTGATGAGTTCCTTATCATGACTCACAGGTGAGTCATCATGATGAGTTCCTTATCATGACTCTCACAGGTGAGTCTACTTGATGAGTTCCTTATCATGACTCACAGGTGAGTCATCATGATGAGTTCCTTATCATGACTCTCACAGGTGAGTCTGCTTGATGAGTTCCTTATCATGACTCTCACAGGTGAGTCTGCTTGATGAGTTCCTTATCATGACCCTCACAGGTGAGTCTGCTTGATGAGTTCCTTATCATGACTCTCACAGGTGAGTCTACTTGATGAGTTCCTTATCATGACTCACAGGTGAGTCATCATGATGAGTTCCTTATCATGACTCTCACAGGTGAGTCTGCTTGATGAGTTCCTTATCATGACTCTCACAGGTGAGTCTGCTTGATGAGTTCCTTATCATGACTCTCACAGGTGAGTCTACTTGATGAGTTCCTTATCATGACTCACAGGTGAGTCATCATGATGAGTTCCTTATCATGACTCTCACAGGTGAGTCTGCTTGATGATTCCTTATCATGACTCTCACAGGTGAGTCTGCTTGATGAGTTCCTTATCATGACTCTCACAGGTGAGTCTGCTTGATGAGTTCCTTATCATGACTCACAGGTGAGTCATCATGATGAGTTCCTTATCATGACTCACAGGTGAGTCTGCTTGATGAGTTCCTTATCATGACCCTCACAGCTACGGTCTGTACATCTTGTACATGTAATGAATAAAGATATTATTATTATTATTATTATTATTATTATTATTATTATTATTATTATTACTGTTTCAGATACTAATGAATAAAGATATTATTATTATTATTATTATTATTATTATTATTATTATTATTATTATTATTATTATTACTGTTTCAGATACTAATGAATAAAGGTATTATTATTATTATTATTATTATTATTATTATTATTATTATTATTATTATTATTATTACTGTTTCAGATACTAATGAATAAAGATATTATTATTATTATTATTATTATTATTATTATTATTATTATTATTATTATTATTATTATTATTATTATTACTGTTTCAGATACTATTACTACAACTTCCTATTTAAAGAGAAAGAAAAGCTAATTTATTCTTACTATTGAAGTAATAATTTTGGCACTAGATTACATTGGTTGTTGTCAGATGTGTGGTGCCTTCATGTGATGATAACAGTACCCAGTATAACCAGACCTTCGTAGAGTGGGCCATCCCAGAGGGCGACCAGTGCCACGTCAGGATACTGGAGAATATCACTGACCAATGTCATCCTGATACATTTTCCAACTTGACTACATCCTGCTCAGAGTGGGTCTACGACACCTCACTCTTCTCCGCCACTACTGTTACTGAGGTTACTAACTGCATTTACGCACACTACCTACACATAATTATTACAATTTTTCATACATGGTGTGTGTGTGTGTGTGTATATATATATATATATATATATATATATATATATATATATATATATATATATATATATATATATATATATATATATACGTGTGTGTGTTGTGTGTGTGTGTGTGTGTGTGTCTGTGTGTGTTTACCTGGAGAGAGTTTCGGGGGTCAACGCCCCCGCGGCCCGGTCTGTGACCAGGCCTCCTGGTGGATCAGCCCCTGATCAACCAGGCTGTTGCTGCTGGCTGCACGCAAACCAATGTACGAGCCACAGACCGGCTGATCAGGAACTGACTTTAGGTGCTTGTCCAGTGCCAGCTTGAAGACTGCCAGGGGTCTGTTGGTAATCCCCCTTATGTGTGCTGGGAGGCAGTTGAACAGTCTCGGGCCCCTGACACTTATTGTATGGTCTCTTAACGTGCTAGTGACACCCCTGCTTTTGGTGTGTGTGTGTGTGTGTGTGTGTGTGTGTGTGTGTGTGTATGTGTGTACTCACCTAGTTGTACTCACCTAGTTGAGGTTGCGGGGGTCGAGTCCGAGCTCCTGGCCCCGCCTCTTCACTGATCGCTACTAGGTCACTCTCCCTGAACCGTGAGCTTTATCATACCTCTGCTTAAAGCTATGTATGGATCCTGCCTCCACTACATCGCTTCCCAAACTATTCCACTTACTGACTACTCTGTGGCTGAAGAAATACTTCCTAACATCCCTGTGATTCATCTGTGTCTTCAACTTCCAACTGTGTCCCCTTGTTACTGTGTCCAATCTCTGGAACATCCTGTCTTTGTCCACTTTGTCAATTCCTCTCAGTATTTTGTATGTCGTTATCATGTCCCCCCTATCTCTCCTGTCCTCCAGTGTCGTCAGGTTGATTTCCCTTAACCTCTCCTCGTAGGACATACCTCTTAGCTCTGGGACTAGTCTTGTTGCAAACCTTTGCACTTTCTCTAGTTTCTTTATGTGCTTGGCTAGGTGTGGGTTCCAAACTGGTGCCGCATACTCCAATATGGGCCTAACGTACACGGTGTACAGGGTCCTGAACGATTCCTTATTAAGATGTCGGAATGCTGTTCTGGGTTTGCTAGGCGCCCATATGCTGCAGCAGTTATTTGGTTGATGTGCGCTTCAGGAGATGTGCCTGGTGTTATACTCACCCCAAGATCTTTTTCCTTGAGTGAGGTTTGTAGTCTCTGGCCCCCTAGACTGTACTCCGTCTGCGGTCTTCTTTGCCCTTCCCCAATCTTCATGACTTTGCACTTGGTGGGATTGAACTCCAGGAGCCAATTGCTGGACCAGGTCTGCAGCCTGTCCAGATCCCTTTGTAGTTCTGCCTGGTCTTCGATCGAGTGAATTCTTCTCATCAACTTCACGTCATCTGCAAACAGGGACACCTCAGAGTCTATTCCTTCCGTCATGTTGTTCACAAATACCAGAAACAGCACTGGTCCTAGGACTGACCCCTGTGGGACCCCGCTGGTCATAGGTGCCCACCCTGACACCTTGCCACATACCATGACTCGCTGCTGTCTTCCTGACAAGTATTCCCTGATCCATTGTAGTGCCTTCCCTGTTATCCCTGCTTGGTCCTCCAGTTTTTGCACCAATCTCTTGTGTGGAACTGTGTCAAACGCCTTCTTGCAGTCCAAGAATATGCAATCCACCCACCTCTCTCTCTCTTGTCACCATGTCATAGAACTCCAGTAGGTTTGTGACACAGGATTTCCCGTCCCTGAAACCATGTTGGCTGCTGTTGATGAGATCATTCCTTTCTAGGTGTTCCACCACTCTTCTCCTGATAATTTTCTCCATGATTTTGCATACTATACATGTCAGTGACACTGGTCTGTAGTTTAATGCTTCATGTCTGTTTCCTTTTTTAAAGATTGGGACTACATTTGCTGTCTTCCATGCCTCAGGCAATCTCCCTGTTTCGATAGATGTATTGAATATTGTTGTTAGGGGTACACATAGTGCCTCTGCTCCCTCTCTCAATACCCATGGGGAGATGTTATCTGGCCCCATTGCCTTTGAGGTATCTAGCTCACTCAGAAGCCTCTTCACTTCTTCCTCGGTTGTGTGCACTGTGTCCAGCACATGGTGGTGTGCCCCACCTCTCCATCTTTCTGGAGCCCCTTCTGTCTCCTCTGTGAACACTTCTTTGAATCTCTTGTTGAGTTCCTCACATACTTCACGGTCATTTCTTTTTGTCTCTCCTCCTCCTTGTGTGTACTCACCTATTTGTACTCACCTATTTGTGGTTGCAGGGGTCGAGTCCTAGCTCCTGGCCCCGCCTCTTCACCGGTTGCTACTAGGCCCTCTCTCTCCCTGCTCCATGAGCTTTATCAAACCTCGTCTTAAAACTGTGTATGGTTCCTGCCTCCACTACGTCATTTTCTAGGCTATTCCACTGCCTTACAACTCTATGACTGAAGAAATACTTCCTACTATCTCTCTGACTCATTTGTGTCTTCAACTTCCAATTGTGGCCTCTTGTTTCTGTGTCCCCTCCCTGGAACATCCTGTCTTTGTCCACCTTGTCTATTCCACGCAGTATTTTATATGTCGTTATCATGTCTCCCCTGACCCTCCTGTCCTCCAGTGTGGTCAGTGTGTGCGTGTGTGTGTGTGTGTGTGTGAGTGTGTGTGTACTCACCTAATTGTGGTTGCAGGGGTCGAGACTCAGCTCCTGGCCCCACCTCTTCACTGACCACTACTGGGTCCTCCCTCTCCCTGCTCCATGAGCTTTATCATACCTCGTTTTAAAACTATGTATGGTTCCTGCCTCCACTACATCACCTACCAGACTATTCCACTTCCTAGCTACTCTATGACTGAAGAAATGCTTCCTAACATCCCTGTGACTCATCTGAGTCTTCAACTTCTAATTGTGACCCCTTGTTTCTGTGTCCCATCTCTGGAACATCCTGTCTCTGTCGACCTTGTCTATTCCCCGCAGTATTTTTATGCCGTTATCATGTCTCCCCCTGACCCTCCTGTCCTCCAGTGTCGTCAGACCGATTTCCCTTAACCTTTCTTCATAGGACATTCCCCTTAGCTCCGGAACTAGCCTTGTTGCAAACCTTTGCACTTTCTCTAATTTCTTGATGTGTTTGACCAGATGTGGGTTCCAAACTAGTGCTGCATACTCCAGTATGAGCCTGACGTACACAGTGTATAAAGTCTTGAACGATTCCTTACTGAGGTACCGGAACACTATTCTCAGGTTTGCCAGGCGCCCATATGCCGCAGCAGTTATCTGGTTAATGTGTGCCTCTGGCGATGTACTTGGTATTATACTCACTCCTAGATCTTTCTCCTTGAGTGAGGTTTGCAGTCTTTGGCCTCCTAGCCTATACTCTCTCTGTGGTCTTCTTTGCCCTTCTCTGATCTTTATGACTTTGCATTTGGCTGAGTTAAATTCTAGGAGCCAGTTGCTGGACCACGCATCCAGCCTGTCCAGGTCTCTTTGTAGACCTGTCTGGTCTGCATCTGATTTAATTCTCCTCATTAACTTCACATCATCTGCAAACAGGGATACTTCTGAGTCTATCCCTTCTGTCATGTCGTTCACATATACCAAGAATAGCACTGATCCCAAGACTGACCCCTGTGGGACCCCGCTCGTCACCGGCACCCACTGTGATACCTCATCACGGACCATGACTCGCTGTTGCCTCCCTGTTAGGTACTCTCTGATCCATTGCAGTGCCCTTCCTGTTATACGTGCCTGTTCCTCTAGCTTCTGTACTAATCTCTTGTGAGAAACTGTGTCGAAGGCCTTCTTGCAGTCCAAGAAATCAACCCACCCCTCCTCTCATTTCTTACTTCAGTTACCTTGTCATAAAACTCTAGTAGGTTTGTGACACAGGATTTGCCTTCCATGAATCCCTGCTGGTTGTCGTTTATAATCTTGTTCCGCTCCAGGTGCTCCACCACTCTCCTCCTGATAATCTTCTCCATGACTTTGCATACTATACACGTCAGTGACACTGGTCTATAATTTAGTATGTGTGTGTGTGTGTTGTGTGTGTGTGTGTAATATAAATTATTCATATTTTCCTCTAATCAATACCATGATAATTTGTACGTATATGCTAACTAACTGCTACTTATAGTTTTGTATATACATACAGAATCTCCATCAAACTTTTACCAGACTAATATTTTGTCATATTATTTATTTCCACAGTTTGACTTAACATGTGACAGGGCATTCCTGGGTCCTCTGGCTGGTTCAATGTACATGATTGGTATGTTAGTCGGTGCTATTGTCATTGGTGATTTAGCTGATCGTTTTGGAAGAAAAAATGGAATCTTGGTGTCAGTTCTACTGCTGGGAGGCGGGGGAGTTCTGAGTGCTGTCTCACCCACCTACTATATGTTCCTCTTGATGCGTTTCTTTACTGGTGCTGGAGGTGTTGGCCTGTTTCAGGTCATATTTGTATTGGGTAAGTACTTACTTTTGTTTGTACTGGGTAAGTACTTGCTTTTAGTTGTACTGGGTAAGTACATGCTTTCATTTGTACTGGGTAAGTACTTGCTTTCATTTGTACTGGGTAAGTACATGCTTTCGTTTGTACTGGGTAAGTACTTGCTTTCATTTGTACTGGGTAAGTACATGCTTTCGTTTGTACTGGGTAAGTAGTGTAATAATATTAATAAGAATACAGACAGGGATAAACCTGATATAATATAAAACCTGAATGAAAATATGTTACTTTTTCTGTTCAAGAAATATGTTGAGTCACTGAAAATTGACCCTAACCTTGGGTTTTCTCTCCAGTAATAAATTACTCTGATGCTCTAATTGTATTATTATGCAAGAAATACATTTAGAATACTTATTTTTTGCCCCTTGGATAGTGTACTTTTATTTAAAAAAAGGTAAAAAAAAATTACAGCAGAAAGTATATATTAAATGCATAACCATATAGACATGGTACTTTATTACTGAAAAAATAATGCGTAAGCACATATGAGCAGTTTTGGTTTTAACCCGTAAACGGTCCAAACGTATACAGTGGACCCTTGACTAACGCTATTAATCCGTTCCTGAGAGCTCATCGTTAGTCAAAATTATCGTTAGTCAAGTTAATTTTCCCCGTAAGAAATAATGGAAATCAAATTAATCCGTGTAGGACACCCCAAAGTATGAAAAAAATTGTTTTTACCACATGAAATATTAATTTTAATGCACACAAACTTAATAAGACATGCACAGTTACATGACACTTGCCTTTATTGAAGATCTGGTGATGATTGATGGGATGGGAGGAGGGGAGAGTGTTGATGGTCTTAGTGTTTAGAAGGGGAATCCCCTTCCATTAGGACTTGAGGTGGCAAGTCCTTTTCCGGGGTTACTTCCCTTCCCTTTAAATCTCTCAAACCAACCTTTGCTGGCCTTAAATTCACTCACATCACCACTAGTTGCTGGCATTTTTTTAATTAAATCGTCATGCAACTTCTTAGCCTTTTCACATATGATCGCTTGAGAGATGCTATCTCCTGCTATCTGTTTTTCGTTTATTCACACCAATAACAGTCTCTCAACATCTTTGAGTACTTGCGATCTCAGTTTCGAAAACACAGTTGCACCTTTGGCAAGAACAGCTTCCTTGATTGCCGTTTTCTTGCCCACAATAGTAGCGATGGTTGATTGGGGTTTTGTGTACAACCTGGCCAGCTCGGAAACACGCACTCCACTTTCATACTTAGCAATGATCTCTTTCTTCATATCCATAGTAATTCTCACCCTTTTTGCTGTAGGTTTGGCACTAGAAGCTTTCTTGGGGCCCATGGTCACTTATTTTGCAGGTGCAATCAATAAAAAGGCTGTGATAATATGAAATGTTCCGATTGTATGCTTGGAAGCGACCATGGTGGCTGGCTGGCGTGTATACACTGGCCAGAAGTGGACGCGTCTCAAATGGAACGAATAGTGTTGGTCGAGTTTTTTAGTGCTAGTCGAGGCAAAATTTTTGCATTAAAATGTATCGCTAGTCGGATTTATCGTTAATCGATGCCATCGTTGGTCAAGGGTCCACTGTATATACGTTTTTACCACTAGTGCCCCAAATGTATATATACGTTTTATGTGTCCTACATTTAACATTGCCACGATAAGCCTGAGTCGCCTAGACATGTGAGAATGGGTGTGAGCACTCACTGTGCACCATATTAAAATAATTGGGGATGCCTGGGTACCATATGCTCTTTTTTCCTATTAAAAAACAACAATGTTTTTTTTTCTCAAAAAAGTTGGGGCAGTACGGTAGTGAACGTATATATATGTTTGGACCATTTACGGGTTAATGGTAAAATGTCACTTGCTGGGAACTAGCCAGGGATTGCATAATGCAGTTTTGGAATGATAGCTATATGATGCACTTCATACCCATCCTGTACTCGCCTATATGTGGTTGCAGGGATTGGGTCACAGCTCCTGACCCCCCGCCTCTTCGCTAGTCGCAGGGGAACGTAATGGGTACAGGGACCGGGCCCCTGTGTGTTGATAGCTAAGCAATTCACTGGTAATAAACTGGCTAGTTTTACAGTGTGAAAGGGTTTAAATTCATTTTTAAGATAGTAAATCAATGTTTATGATTAATTGTAGTTTAAAAAGACTGAAAAGGCACAATACCGGCCTGGTAGACAAACCTCTCACTTCACACGCTGAGTGTCCGAGTTCGATTCCCGGCGAGGGTGAAAACATCGAGTGTGTTTACTTACACCTGTTGTCTATGTTCACCCATCAGTAAAATAGCTACCTGAATGTTAGTCGACTGGTGTGGGTTGCATCCTGGAACAAAAATGGACATAATTTGTCCGAAAGGTTCTGCATAACAAGGGGCTTTCTATACATGTATAGTAGTATGTCACTGATGTCAGCTAGGCCTTTATACCTTGTACATGTACTTGTAGAAATAAAGATATTTTATTATGAAAAATAACCCGCACATAGAATAAAATTGATGACGACGTTTCGGTCCGACCTGGACCGAAATTTCATAAGTTTCGGGTTAATAGTGTAGGCATGCTAGTGGCCTCCTTTGTAATTCATATTTTATAATATGTAAACCACAAATTGTAATTAATATTCTATGATATGTAAACCCCACATTGTAATCTTTATACAGAAATAAACATTTCAGTTTCAATTTCAGTCGTAGTTTAATATTGTTTTCATTTTTTTTTCACAGCTGTTGAATTTGTTGGTGCCAAATGGCGTACATTTTGTGGGATTTTCATTGAAGTTCCATTTGCACTGGGTGAATCTCTGACTGGAGTGATGGCCATCTTCATACGAGACTGGCGTTACCTGCAGGTTGCTGTTACTGCTCCTGCTTTCCTGCTTATCACTTACAATTGGTATGTATAATTTGTGTATGGACCACTTATGTACATATTTTATTACTAAGTGTTTGTGTATCACATTCACTAACCTATTGTGCACTTCTTTCCTATAGAAAGACACAGTAGGGAGCAGTGTCCATATTACTAAACATGTCTTCCTGTATGAATCATGTTACTGATCATGTTGTCTTCCTGTATGAGTCATGTTACTGAACATGTTGTCTTCATGTATGAGTCATGTTACTAAACATGTTGTCTTCATGTATGGGTTATATCACTGAACATGTTGTCTTCCTGTATGGGTTTGTTACTGAGTGATGTTATGGGTCCTCAATTATATCTCATTTACATAATGTTAGTGAGCATCCCAACAGGAAATTAACTTCATTAAACTGTGTATCAATATACTTGGTACTCCCAAAAAGCAGAGACCGCCAGCAAGAACCTGGGTGTTAGTCGAGCTGGTTGTTAGCCAACCTGGGTGTTAGCCAACCTGGGTGTTAGTCAACCTGGGTGTTAGCCGACTGGTCTGCATCACATCCTGAGGATAAAATTGACCTGATTAGCCCGAAATGCTCTGCATAACAAGCACCTTTCTGTACAGTAGTATGTCAACTAACAATCAGGTACCCATTTTATACTGATGGGTGAACAGGGACAGCAGGTGTCTTATAGAAACATATCCTAATGTTATCCAGCAGTACCTGGGATTCGAACTCCAGACCTCAGTGTGTGTGAGCTGAGTGCACTAGCTACAGGATTGAGCTCTCTTTGTACCAATCAAATTGTGAAATGTGAACACACATTGTAACCTTTGCAAAGAAATAAACTTTTTAATTTTGATTTTATATACAGTATTGTAAAGCACCCTTCTGGCAAGACAGTGATGGAGTGAATGATGGTGAAAGTTTTTCTTTTTCGGGCCACCCTGCCTTGGTGGGAATCGGCCAGTGTGTTAATTAAAAAAAAAAATATTACTGACTTTAGAAAGAAAAACTTTTGTTTTTCTTTTCGAGTCACCCTGACTGAGTGGGATATGACGAGTTTGTTGAAAAGAGAGTACATATATAGATATACTATATATTTTGTTTTTTCTACAGGATAATGCCTGAAAGTGTTCGATGGTTGGTAGCTCAGGATCGCAAGACTGAGGCCAGGAAGATTATAGAGAGAGCTGCCAGATTTAATGCTGTTGAGGTCCCAAAGTATATGTTAGATGATGACAATGTGCAGGTAAGGGGTCCAGGAATGATTCATTTTATACTTACTGAATATACATTATGAATATACGCAGGGGCAGATCTGCTAATGAAGCTTAAGCTTCAGGGCCCCTAATCCTGGAGGGGCCCCGGAAGCGACTTTAGTCCACATTGCTTAAAAATTTCGGGTCTGTTGTATGATAAGGGGTTGTGAAGGGGCCCCTGTAACAGTTCAAGTTTCAGGACCCCAAAGATGTACGTAGGTCCACATTAAGTATTTTCTAAAGCTGTATTTCTCATGATAATATAAGAGTAACAATTTCTCCCTTAGAAGTTGTGGTTAGATCTTTAAATAATTTTTCTAACATTTTGCATATGTACATCAGATTTTTTTTTTTCGTAGTTATGTCTTTCACCCGCCACATCCCCATTGTTTTCCATAACTCCCAAATTATGCTTCTCCAATTGCTTACATTCAACTCCTCCATTACCTTCATTTACATGGTGTGTGCAAGATATAGAATCTTAATACTGTATGTTAATCACATTTATTATACTTACTGACAGGTTTCCACCATTGATGGAGTTTTGTCAGTATCTAACAGCAAAGTTGAACTTGTGAGTGAAACTAAACCTGAAGATCAGATAAAGAAGACTGTTATTGACCTTCTTAGAACGCCAAATATGAGGAAAAGATCTTTCAACATGTTCTTTTGCTGGTAAGTGTAGCAGGTCTCGACTAAATACCTCCAATATTTTAAAAACTATGTACGTATTCATATTCTCATATGCATTTTTTTTTATATAGTGGCCATCTCCCACCAAGGCAGGGTGACCCGAGAAAGAATCACTTTTACCACCATTCATATAGTATACATAATCATAATTCAGTTTTAAGGCTGCCTGAAGTGCTTTGCATAAGAAGGGGCTTTCTATAAAATATTTACATATGTTAATCACCTTAATTATACAATACACTGTTCTCCGCTTTATAGAAATAAAGTTTGTTTGTATAGTACTGAAATACGTACATAAATTGTTTAGTTGGAGGTACTTGAGTAAATATTTTCATATAGTCGGACTTGAGTCCTGGAAATGGGAAGTACAATGCCTGCACTTTAAAGAAGGGGTTTGGGATATTGGCAGTTTGGAGGGATATGTTGTGTATCTTTATATGTGTATGCTTCTAGACTGTTGTATTCTGAGCACCTCTGCAAAAACAGTGATAATGTGCGAGTGTGGTGAAAGTGTTGAATGATGATGAAAGTATTTTCTTTTTGGGGATTTTCTTTCTTTTTTTGGGTCACCCTGCCTCGGTGGGAGACGGCCGACTTGTTGAAAAAAAAAAAAAAAAAAAAAAAAAAAACTTGAGTAAATCTTCACCATTAACTTGCTGATGGGTTACTGGTCTAAAATTAGGATTTATATCAACAGTGTAAAAATACAAAATACAGTACATTTCAAGAGGGCCCCACTTATACAGCAGGTCAGGTTCCGAGCTACAGTCGTAAAGCAGAAATCGCAGTAAAGTGAAACATAGCCTCTTTTTTCACTTTCAAATGCACATTAAAACTTGTTAACATGTTTACATCATCACATATTAAGTGAGCGATAGAGCTAGGCCTAAAAAATGCATATACGGTACACACATTACTTATCTTTGAAATTATATTATCCCTCAGATAAATTAAAGCTTGGAACTAACACAAAATGATTTTAAATCAACCAAGTGCTTTGTAATATAATTTTCAGATGTGCACACAAGTTTATATTTGTCTTAATTCAAATTAAATGAAAAAATAATTAAACTAAGCATTGGTGAGAAGCTGTTACTGAGTGCAATTTCAACAAGTATATTAGATCTGTTCCTCCAGCAAGTATATTAGACTTGTTCCTTTCTTGATGCAAATGAAGGGCTCTTGATTCAGGGAATTGGATATACCCTCCACTTAATTGGGTCAGATTTGATTGCCTCCCATTACCTGTATCCCAGGTGTTGTACGACATCTCTATGTTTAGTGCTCACCCATGAATGTTGTAGTATTAATATGTTTGATTTGTCTTCAAATATAATAATGTACATGTATTTTAAAAATACTTCAGCTATCTGTAAAGCACTCTTGAAACTACTGAAGGGCTTATGATCAAGGGACTTGGAGCTATGTTCACCTTCTTCAAAGCAAACTTATTTATGACTCCTTCCTTAAGATAAGATAAGATAAGATAAGATTTCGTTCGGATTTTTAACCCCGGAGGTTAGCCACCCAGGATAACCCAAGAAAGTCAGTGCGTCATCGAGGACTGTCTAACTTATTTCCATTGGGGTCCTTAATCTTGTCCCCCAGGATGCGACCAACACCAGTCGACTAACACCCAGGTACCTATTTGCTGCTAGGTGAACAGGATAACAGGTGTAAGGAAACGTGTCAAATGTTTCCACCCACCGGGAATCGAACCCGGGCCCTCCGTGTGTGAAGCGGGAGCTTTAGCCACCAGGCCTCCGGGTCACCGGTGCTTTGTCCAAGCTTTGTTGACTTGATGAATTAGACTTTTGCAACACTCAGGCATCTTTACTGACAAAATGTTTTGCCCACGCAGCAGACTTCTTCATTCGAATGGAGGTAAATATAACACTGGAAACTGTAGAGGAAGTAGCTTTGAGGTGATCAGTCGCTCAGTTTTGGTAGGAGATGGTTGACCTTTACAGGTTTAGCACTACAGTGTGAATATAATAATAATCATGTTTGACAGGGCTGTGTGTACGCTGGTATACTACGGACTATCCTCCAATTCTGGCAACTTAGGTGGCAATATCTTCGTCAATTTCATCGCCACTATGTTGATTGAGATTCCATCTTACATCTTCTCCTTCCTCGTCCTTGACAGGTAATATCTTCGTTCCTTGGGGAGGGTGGGTAGGGGACACGTGACTAGACGAAAACACTTAGGAATTTAAAAAGATCATTAAAAATGTAAATATTGAAAATTTCATAGAATATATCTGGTACTTTGGTTCCTTGGGACTTCAGATACAAAAAATCATTGTCTTCATTTTCTTGATTTGTAGCTTTCATCATTCATGTTAGACATATACTGTGCAGCAAGATCCTAGATAATATTTAATTTATATACACTGTAGAATAAAAGTCACAATGCCATGGCTGAAACATTTCACAAATAACTTGCACTTAGAAGAGGAGACATTTTCATTCGTTTCCTCTCCTGAGTGCAGATTATTTTTTAATCATGTGTAGCATAATTGTTTCTTTAAGTTTAATTACCCCCCATTCTTGAAGACACAACCTGCAGAACAAACTTTTCTTGGGGTAACATTTTTGTTCTGTAGAGTCTTTTGAAGATGACTTAATATAGCATGATACACAGAGTGAAATGTTGCAGTAGGTTTGTCCTGCAATGTGTCCTTGTGTTCTTGCTTCTCTACGGAATGCCACTTCATGTAACAACCATTCATGTTGATCATTTTTTGTACAGTATTTTGATTAAACTGCAGTTATTTATCAGTATGATAGCTAAAACACTTTGTTATTGATTATTGATTATTGTAAAAAAACGTTTGTTAGCTAATGACTAGTTCTAAAAGTAGAGTATATGTATATAGCATTTTGTTCATCTCACTGCCAACATTATACTCGCCACTGAACTTTGTCGTCTGATAAAAGGGTAAAAAAAGGTGTTGTTTAAGACTACTCAAAAAGTTTTTAAAAATTGAAGTCTGTTAATGGAAATGAAAGAAATATTATTGTGATTTAAAGATTAATGAGGCAATGAGCTTTGAGCTATTTTAGCATAAGCAGCATTAAAATGCTCTTTTAATTAACCAAAATGATATTAACTGCTCTGGTATGCTCGTGATTTTGCTCTGATGTTTCAAACAATTTTCTTTTGACCTCTTAAATTAATAGTTTACTGTTAAGCTTTCTTATTTAAATGGCGACTTAGCTGGTAATCTCATTTAAATTCACTGCAAATTTAATTTTTAATTTGGCCTCTCAATACTGTTTCATACTGCTAGGGAAGAAAACAACTTCACAGTTAAGAATGAGACAGAGATGATAGATGAACATATTTAAGCAGTGGAAAGATTGAGAGAATATTTTGAGGCGTTTAATTTATTGATGAAAGGGAGATGGCAATATCATGTTTGAGGTCAGTGTCTGATGTGAATATTATGCAGAGAATAAGGAACATAAAAATTAGAAGATGTGTATTATGCAGGATATTGTTCATAACACTGTGTGACAGTATAAAAAAAGTATAACTTAGAGAATGGAGGAGGCATTTTCAAAATGGTTCAGACATTTTGAATGAGTGGAGCAGAATATGTTGACCAAGACAGTCTATAATGCAGGATGAATGTAAGGAAGAAGTGGTAGTGGAGGTCTCAGGAAGGGATGGATGTTGAGGATGAGTGAGGCTTTTAGTGATAACAGCACAGTCATCCAGCAGGCATGTTCGAGTGTCTTAGATCACAGTGGGGGATTTGTTATGCTGTTGGAGGTGGGAGGTACAGTGCTTGTATTCTGAAGGATGAAGGGGAGGTTGTTGCCACTGGGAGGGTCATTGGAATTGAGATGCTCATACATTTCTGGCAAGACAGCTGTTGAATAAATGATGATGAATGTGCTTCATTATTTGGGTTATTGCTGTGGTGGGAAATGGCAGATGTGATATTTTTTTTTATTATGCAATACACTCCCTTGAAATTAACCATTAGATAATGTTGAGAAAGTTATTTAATCTTCATATAATAATACCAGGATAAAAATATTTTATTATAAATTATAACTGGAAGTTAATTATAGAATTCTTAATCAAGTAAATTTTTTAATTATAAAATCATCATTAAAGATTACTTGATAATTAATCAAATGGTCTTATCCTGGATATACAATACTGTGAAGTCCATTTATATATATACGTATATATATTTTTTTTTATTTTCTTTGCATATTTATTTAAAGAGTAAAATTTGTAATCTGTACATTATTAACATTACTGTTTTGAGACAAGATTCTTGTCAATAATTGTTGTTTTGTAAATTTGGTTGTAAGGAAATTTTTCACTTTCTTATTTTGAATTTTGCCAGAATTAAGCCTTAACTAAAATGTTCCTGAAGAGTTGTAATATTGTAGCCACTAACTCGAGCATTCCTTCTCAAACTTAAGTGTTGGATATTAAATTCTCTGAACTGCCTGTGATCAACAGGTCTCCATTAAGTTAATATTCTTTTACAGTATGTCATTAGTATTCCATTTTTATCTCTTATCATCCTCATCATCTTCCATTCCCCTTCTCCTTAGCCTCGTTACCTATTTGTCCATATTATTTTGCATTATATTGTATATTCATGTATAACTTCCTCCTTCATCCTACTAAAATGTATAGCAGTATTCACATGGGAGGCACATCTGAGCACAGCACATCAGTGGCAGCAAAAGCAGACAACAGTGGTAGTAGCAGCAGCAAATATAACATAGACAGGAAGCAGTCAATGTTTGGTTATTTGTTCAGTCATTCAAACCACTGTGTTCACTTGTAGTTTCTCTGCAGCATATCTCTTTCTTCAGCATTCATATCTCTTAACACAATTTAAGTATTTTTATTTTCTTTAAGATTATTTTATTGAACTTACTGTTCAATACTTACTGTTCTTCCATTACAACTCATCTTATGTTCAGAATATTTGTACATAATTATTTTTCAAGAGGATTGCATGTAGATGTTTTCTTTTCATTTTTTATTATAGTTTTGAGTATTGATGATACTTATATAATTAATTATTATTTTAAATATAATTGCTGATCAGCATTAGTTTTATATAGCACATTCAGTTTCAGTGATGTGATTAAATAAGAAACCTGCATTAACAAAACATTTGTTTTAAAAATCTTGTTTTCAATAATTTCATCTGGCCCATTTTTTATTTTAATTCATTTCCCCACAGCTTTTATTATAAGCTATCTCTTATTATTACCTTGATTATTTAGGTATTTTCACTAGTTGCCATTAATTCATTGACAGTGTGTGATCATTATCATGTCCATGTATCTATGCCAAATTCCATATTTTAGACTTCATATTCACATAACTCTTGTTGATCTTTAAAGCATTATTTAATGATGCAATTGCATAGGTTCTCCATAGCTTTAATTTGTCCAATGTTGAATAGTTGTTGCATGGAAGATATACACAGGGCTCTCCTATTCCATCTGCATTACATTTAAAACTTAAGAGTAAATGTGCATGCCATTAAAGTTCCTCTGACACTGTTGACTGGGAGTTAGCCAAGCTTAAAATACTGTATATTAGAAAACCTTTTAATAGATCTTCATTTTTAACAAGAGTGTATCACACACGTGCTGATCAAAGGCTCATGAACAAAATGTAATCATATAATATACATACCACTGTGAGTGGAAGACCTCATTCTGATCCACTGTAATATATATTTGTAAGTTCGAGTAAATGCACTGAACACAAGAGAAGTCTATGTGCAAGGCAGTAATGTCATAGTTTACTGTGCAGCAGTAGAGCATCACTGAATGGTGCCCTCATCACTCAAGTAATAACACCTCTAGATCATATTATTGAAAGTATACAATGCCATCAAGTTGGTGGCTAAGACACATGTAACATTTGGGCTTTATATTTACCAGGTAAATATAAAACTGGAGATAATAGAGGAAGGAACAGACTAGCTCCTATGTAAGCTGAGGGAATGATCAAAATTACTTCTACTGTCTCTGGTTTTAATATTCAAAAAGAAAAACAAAGGTTTCTCTTTTTAACTTTGGTAATGCATACAGGAGAAGGGGTTACTAGCCCCTTGCTCTCAGCATTTTAGTCACCTCTTACGACACACATGGTTTATGGAGGAAGAATTTTGTTCCACTTCCCCATGGAGAGTACTGCACATGTGTCTTATTAATCCACACTTGTGAAGTCAGTCCCCACCTAAACTATTATCTGTTCAGCAAAACACACCAAACATGGGGAGTGAGGGCTGCACATTATGGTATAAACCTTGGTAATTGATAATAACAAGTGGGACCAAAGCACTCAAGGTGCTGAGGTCTAATTAATATATCCAGTGTTTGCTTATGTGTCTTCTTAAACCAGGTCTGTATGACCCTCCAGAGCAGGAATAAATGAGATCAGTGTGTTCCAGTAGGTAAAAGCAACATAATTAAATGTATATAATACCAGAAAGTTGATGAATAAGATGCCTGTGCAACACATGAGTATCTGAGCAACAAGCTGAAAATCTACAAGAACGATTGAAGATCTCCATAGGGAGATCTTAATCATCCAGGAAACTGACTGACATTAGAAGCCAGAGGTAGCAGTGGTACGCTTTCACACTGAAGACATAAATAAATTATTGTACTGGGCATGAAGGTAGTTTAAAAATAATTTCCTGCACAAATGTTTTAGAGGTAAACTGACAGGGTCCTATTCTGAAAATGGTTCATTAAAATAGAATTATATTAGTCTAGTTGTTGCTCACCTAAAGTATATAATATTTCACTTCTTTTATAAACCACATGAATGTCAGAGGATAAGGTTTAATTCTTCATTGATAAAGATGTCTTCACGTGTTTAGCACTTTCTTGTGACTACGATAGTAAATGTGTATTAAAAGTTTGCCATTAGAAGACTTGACATTTAAGGGTGCTAACTCCAGCAAGAAGGACGGAGAGAGAGGAATTTGTTGTCATAATGTCTTGGAGCATGATTTAAGTACATCTGGGAGAGCCCTGTAGGGTGTTACTGAATGACTGTGATTCCACAGAATGGGAAGGAAGGGCACGCTCTCCTTCGTGCTATTGCTTGGCGGAGTCTCATGCTTCATATCCGGATTTGTACCAGAAGGTAAAGCCTGTGGGCATGTGGCTGACTCCGTGCCCACACCCACGCCACTTCACTCACGCAAAGCACACATGGTCTTCTAGATAGAAATTAACATAAACATTTATTATAATGGTAGAATTACCAACAAAATGTTAGATAAATGGGCACAGATGCAACTAATGTAATATTTTATTTTGTTTCATTCTCCAGGAACTCTGTATAGCAGTAATGGCTTGACAAAGCTCCTGGAGAGCGAAATGTTGTTTCAATAAAATGTCAAATTATTTGCAACTGTGTCCATTTACGTAACAAACATTTGTTTTTATTTTCTGCTGGTGTAAAAAGTACAGTACTAGTCTAGTACAGTATGTATAGTGCATTTTTGTGTTATTGCCAATTAATGAAAAATCATTCTGTGTATGTATACACATACATATTACAAACTTTTACGAATGTAACAAACTACTGTACATACAGATTATGTACTGAATCTTGCTTACTGTGCAAGAATCTTGCTACTTCATAAGCTGCTTTTTTAATAAAGAATGGGAAAATAACTCATTGTATGTCGGTATTGCAAAAACAACGATATCCTGTTTAATGAAGACACTTGCTTAAACTGTTACTTCTGAGGATAACATACAATATTCTGCTAAAACTTGGGATGATGACAAGAAGAAATTTCATATTTATCAATAAATGTTCATTGAATACAAAGTAACCTCATAATTTAAACACAAAATCACTAAACAGCAAGCAAAAATAAACTGTGCAGTACAAATATTACCAAAGAAAAATGCTAGCCATTGTGCAGAGCGTGCTAAATGTGTCATTTTGTGCCAGTTTTGGGAGAATTATTCAGGGTTTAAGAAATAACGTATTATCAGGTGGCAGTACACCTATTTTCATACATTCAGTTTTCTAATTTGAAATGTATATTATGTACATATTTAGTAACAGTAAAAACAGAGCACAAAATGACATTGGCGTGATTAGTTGAAAAAAGAATCCGGAACTCCATTAAATATCCATCTTTATCTGCTAGTTACTTGAGATCTGGTTTTTTATTTCAGTAGGTAAATTTTTATTTAAGTAAATACATGTAGTTGTTTTAAGTTATTGAAAGCTAGCTTTGAGTTGCTCTTGTAACAGAATGTTGGGTAAGTATGGGTATTATTATCCTTATAGCTACTTAAACAAGTAGTTATCCTACACTGATTGAGCAAGAACAAGTCATTATGATAATTAAGATATGGCAAAATTTAATTTTCAGTGGGCTTTTATTACATATTACCAAAGGTATTGAAATGTCACTCGCTGAATGTAATAAAAAATGTATGACTGTTCTTTACCAAGATCACTGAGGAGCTGCTGTTCAGGTGTTAAGTGGCACGTAAGCTCACCCGTCTTCTAATAACATGTTCATTTTTCCATTATAATCTACCTTGTCTGTAATTACTATCACATTTGCTGTTTTGTAATGTGAAGTCTAGGATTTTTCCTTAATTCATGGTATAACTTAACAAATATTTGATGACAGTTGTGTTGCAGAGTTCTGAGCTTAGTTTAGACCTCTGCTACACAATTGTCCTCAAAGATTTGTTAAGGTATACCATGAATTAAGGAAAGATCCTAGACTTCACCTTGCGAAACAGGAAATGTGATGGTAATTACAGACAAGGTAGATTATAGTGGAAAAATGAACAAGTTATTAGAAGACGAGGATACTTACGTGCCTCTTAAGTGGCTGGTGTCAGGCTAAATGGTGGTTATTAATTTGACTGGTAATGTTATTAATTGAGAGGCAGTATTTAGCTTCAGCAAATACTTCTGTAGTTACAATAGTCATATGGTATTTGCAGTCACTGAAATGGTGTTTACTTTTCCATTAAGTTGGGAATGGAGCAAAGTTAATAGTATTTTTATAATTTACTGTCAGATGATGGCATCACTGTGGTTGAACAAGACACTCAGGACTAAACTATGAATCTTCTTTTCTTTAGTCTTGTTATTCATCTGATATGAGTGGCATTGTGACCCTTGCATTTGTTTTCACCCTCTAAGCATCATGGTAGAAATTGGAATTAGTACTGTAATAGGTAAATTTAATTTGAATAGTGTATGTGAATGCTGCAGCAAGAAGGAGGCTGGAGGCAGTGAAGATGTCGTGTCTAAGGGCAATGTGTGGTGTAAATATTATGCAGAGAATTTGTAGTGTGGAAATTAGGAAGAAGTGTGGAGATACTAAAGGTATTATTCAGAGGGCTGAAGAGGGGGTTATTGACATGGTTTGGCCATTTAAAGAGGATGGAGAAAAAGGTTGACTTGGAGGTTGTATAAATTTGTAGTGAAGGGGAGGATGGGTAAGGGTCATTCTAGGAAAGGATGGAGGGAGGTGGCAAAAGAGGTTTTGTGTGCAAGAGGCCTGGACACATAGCAGGCACGTGTGAGTCAGTTAGATAGCAGTGGATGCAAACAAATAGTTTTTGGGACCTGACGAGCTGTTGGAGTGCAAGCAGGGTGATAGTTTGTGAAGGGATTCAGGGAAACTGGATAACCAGACTTGAGTCCTGGAGATGGGAAGTGCAATGCCTGCACTTTAAAGGAGGGGTTTGGGATATTGGCTGTTTAGAGTGACATCTAAACTGTCATATCTGGGCACCTTTTTAAAGACAGTAATAGTGTGTAAATGATGGTAAAAGTGTTTCTTTTTTGGGTCACCCTGCCTCAGTGGGAGATGGCTGTCATGTTGAAAAAATTTAATTTTGATTAAAGATAATTAATTAATAAGAGTTAGGTTTTTGGTTTTCATATCTTTTTCACCACACTTGATTAGCAATATCTAATAGCCATTAATTCTGAGGCTAAATTAGCATTTGTTTTAAAAGTGCTGAAAAGTTTATGATGAGATGATCTGCCGCTGACGATGGGAAGAAACCTAAGAAATGAACAGTATTATAATACTGAAAATAGTGAGCACTGTTGTTTGCAGGCAACACAGAAATTTTACATATTTTTTGGGTATTAATTGTAAATTCACATGGTTATAAAAAACCCTGATTATATTTTATGTGCAGTTTCGCACAAAATACACTCAAAATAGATATTTCTTACATAACACTATCCTGATGAAGAATGTGGTGCCTTCACTGAACCTTATAGGTGTCACATTGATGTAATGTGAAGAGTCCATATCAAACATCCAATCTTATCTACTATACACAGCCAATAATTAATATCAAGCATGATTACCTGATGATGGCTCTGGGGCTCATGGTACATTCCTAAAGAATATACTTTTTTGTCTACAATAAAGATACAAACATATAAACTATCTGTTCATATGAATTTAAATTCATATGAGATAAATGCCTTTTTGATATAGTAAATATTAATGACACTGCCTGGAAACAATAGTACTGTATAGCAATATCCAGTATGTACTGTATGATATAGGGAAAAACCACCATTTTTACTGAACTAGTAATTAGTTAAACTTGATTCTGTCCCTATAATTGTGCACTGTGGTCTTTTTGTATTTTCTGTTCATTTTTTCATAATAGGTTATGAATGGTTGGTAGTGGTGCTGAGCTTGTTGGGCAAGTTTGGTATTGCAGCTGCATTTGCCATCATCTACATCTACTCTGCAGAAATTTTCCCAACTGATTACCGAAGCGTTGGTATTGGTGCTTGTTCCATGTGTGCTCGTGTTGGAGGAATTCTTGCACCATTTATTGCTTCTCTCGTAAGTCATTGCGATGTAATGGTTTAAAGTACTCCATATTTTTTAGTTTTTTATATGAGATTATCCTTCATATTCAATGTCACCTGTTTTGTGATTGTTCTTTCATGTTACATATACAGTGGACCCCCGCCTTACGAACGCATCGCATTTCATTAAATCCGCCATACGAAGCATTTGAACGCAAAAATTTTGCCTCGCCTCACAATAAAAAACTCGCCTTACATGATTTGTCTGGGACGTGTCCCACGTGTGGCCTCAGCTGCCCTGTGGGTGCCAATGTTTACAAGCCAGCCAGTGTGGTCGCATCCACGCATACATTCGGTACATTTCACCTTATCCCAGTGTTTTTTGTGCTTGTAACTGCAAAATAAGTCACCATGGGCCCCAAAAATGCTTTTAGTGCCAAACCTGTGGTAAAAAGGGTGAGAATTAGTATGGAAATTAAGAAAGATTTTGAAGGGTTTGGGGCTAACCCTGAGAAGCCTATACCAGTTGTGGAATCCATTGTGCCTACTTCAAAAATTAAGGAAATGTGTGCAAAGTGGGTTGAACTGCAAACCTTTATGGATGAAAATCACCCTAACACAGCTATTGCAAGCCATGCTGGTGACTATTACAATGACAATGTTGTGGTCCATTTTAGGCAAATCTTAAAGGAACTGGAGGTCAAGCCTGTGGACGATTTGTTGTGCGACAGGGTCCGTACTCTAAAGCGGTCCTGTGGATTAAAAGAAAAAAGGGAAGTAACCCCAAAAAAGGACTTGCTACCTAATCCTAAGGGAAAGGGGGATTCCCCTTCTAAACAAAAAACTTCCACACTCCCCCCCTCCATCCCACAATCATACCAGATCTCAAAAAAGGGTAAGTGTCATGTTTTTTCTATTTTAGTGAGTAGTAATTGTGCAGTCTTTTAGTTTTTTGTTTTTAAAAAATTAATTTTTCAGTGGAAAAATAATTTTTTTTCATTTTTGGGGGTTTCCCTTGCACGGTTAATTTGATTTCCTTATTTTTTAGGGGGAAAATTAATTCGGCTAACGATAATTTCGGCTTGGATGAGCTCTAGGAACGGTTTAATATCGAAAGGGGGGGGGGGGGGTCCACTGTACTATTTTTTTCATTTTCAACTAAAAAAGAGTAGGAGAGGGGAATTTAAAAGATCGTTCCCTTTTGTCTTAATTGGTGCACTTTTCTTTGAAAGAAACAATTCAGAAAAAATTATAATTTGTAATTTTGCAAACCATATTGTTTAAATCTCCCCCAAAAATTTTTTAAAGGTGTACATTTCAAAATTTTGAAGCTTAATGTGGGAAATTTAGATTGACAAAGGATTATAAAAGGGGCAAAGGTTAAAGTCATGAGGTTAAAAACCTGGAGGTTTTGGATTATTATTTAAAATTGGGGGGGTTAATCACCTTAAATTACTCTGACCTTTTGGGGTTTTTAGACTTTTGATCTTTAGGAGTGTTTATGTTTATCAAAAAGGAGAGTTATTTTCCCCACCCCCCTTAAAAGTTTAATTTCAATAAATTTTTAGTATTTGCATGTTAAAACAATTCGTTTTTGCGTCACCTAGGGGGAATGGTTTTGGGGTTAAGTTCAGTGTGTTTTTTTGCAGTCCTCTAGTGGGAACTGGTTTGGGGTTAATGCAGTGTGCTGTTTGCAGTCATCCGTGGGAATGGTTTGTGGTTAAGGGGAAAGGTGCTTTTTGCAGTCACCCCAGGGGAACTGGCTTTGGGGTTTAAAGTGCAAGTGTGTTGCAGTCACTCCAGTGGGAATGGCTTTGTGGTTAATCAGGGTGCTGTTTGCAGTCACTCGTAGAACGGGCTTTGTGGTTAAGTGCGTGTGCTTTTTGCAGTCACTAGTGGAAAATGGCTTTGGGTTTAAAGGAGTGTGCTGTTTGCGTCACCTAGGGGAACGGCTTTGGGGTTAAGTGAGTGTGCTGTTTGCAGTCACTCTAGGGGAATGGCTTTGTAGTTAAGTGCAGTGTGCGTTTGCAATACTCTAGTGGGAATGGTTTGTTTAAAGTGCAGTGTGCTTTTTTGCAGTCACTCTAGTGGGAATGGCTTTGTGTTAAGTGCATGTGCTGTTTGCAGTCACCTAGTGGGAACGGCTTTTGTTATTGCGTGTGCTGTTTGCATCATCTAGTGGGAAGGCTTTGTGTTAAGTGCAGTGTGCTGTTTGCAGTACTTGGGGGAAACTGGTTTTGTTTAAGTGAGTGGGGCCGTTTGCAGTACTCTAGTGGGAACGGGTTTTTGTGTTAAGTGATGGTTTTTGCAGTCATTAGGGGGAAACGGCTTTGTATTAAGTGCAGGTGCTTTTTGCAGTCACCTAGGGGGAACGGCTTTTTTTAAGTGCAGTGTGCTGTTTGCAGTCACTCTGGGGGAACTGGTTTTTGTGTTAAGTGCAGGTGTGTTTGCAGTCACTTAGTGGGAACTGGCTTTGGGTTAAGTGCAGCGTGCTTTTTGCAGTGTGCTTTTTGCATATTTCAAATCTTACTTACAATGGGTATCAGATGTCACCATTAAAAACAGCATCAAAAAACAGGCCACTTGATATGGAGTTCCGCGGGAAATGCCCGGGTCCCGCTCTTTCCTATATACATAAAGATCTTCCAAACGTACCCAAAACCCCTGAAACCCATTCTCTTTGCTGACGACACAACTTATTTTCATCTCAAAACCCTAATCTTGCCACCCTCAACACCATTGTAACGAGGAGCTGATCAAAATATCGACTTGGATGACAGCCAATAAACTTACGCTTAACACTGACAAAACCTACTATATTATGTTTGGTAGCAGAGCAGGAGATGCACAAATTAACTTAAGATCGACAAACACTCTAATTACCAGACATAATGGGGCAAATTCCTAGGCCTATCCCTTGACAACAACCTGAATTCAGCACCCATATCCAACACATAACCAAAAAAGTATCCAAAATGGTTGGGTCCTCCCCAAAGATACGATACTACGTCCGCAAAATGCCCTTTTTCACACTATCCACTCATTTAATTTATCCATACCTCACCTATGCTATTTGTGTTTGGGGGGATAAACTGCAGCAACACACCTAAACCAATAATAACCCAACAAAAAGCTGCAGTAAGAATAATCACAAAAATCCCATCCCTGGGCAACACACCCCCCACTCTTCATAGATCTAAACTTACTCCCTGTTCAGTACATCCACACTTACTACTGTGCAATCTACATCTACGGGACCTTAAACTCCAATAATCAACCTTGACCTAAAAGCTTTTCTTAAATAGTTGTGACAGAACCCACAGGCATTACACCATACACTAACATCTCTACGCCCATTCCCCGTGTCCGACTAAACCTTTACAAAATTCAGTGTATGTCAAAGGCCTAAATTGGGGAACACCCTACCGGGAGACTCTAGAACTGCAGACACATTCATCACCTTCAAAACTACCATCAGAAAACATCTTGTCTCCCTGATACACCCCTTCAACTAACTACACGAATACCACTTCTTTGTTCACACTTCACTCACTCACCCATTTGACCATAACAGAAATATTAACTCAATCTTAAAATAATGAATCCTGTGATACTCCAATACTGAAACTATTACTGTGCCAAAACAAAATTATTCACATTGCTAAACTCACAAACTAGTATTTAGTCACTTAGCCATAATACCAACTTACCTCATAATTTGTAATATTTTAAAATTAAGATTTAAACTAAGTCTGCCCGAAATGCCTAGCCATGCTAGGTGTTCTAGTGGTACACTCTGTAATTATTATTTTACTACATGTAAACCACACAATAACCAAATTCTGTAAACTCAGCATTGTAATCCTTATAGAGAATAAACTTTGAATTTGAATTTGAATTTGAACTGGCTTTGTGTTAAGTGCAGTGTGCTGTTTGCAGTCACTCTAGTGGGAACTGGCTTTGTGTTAAGTGCAGTGTGCTGTTTGCAGTCACTCTAGTGGGAACTGGCTTTGTGTTAAGTGCAGTGTGCTGTTTGCAGTCACTCTAGTGGGAACTGGCTTTGTGTTAAGTGCAGTGTGCTGTTTGCAGTCACTCTAGTGGGAACTGGCTTTGTGTTAAGTGCCACTTAGTCTTAGCTTTTTCAGGGAAATGGTAGTTTTGGTTGAAAACTTTAACTTAGTGGGAATGGTTTTTGTTTAAATGGTGTTCTGTTTGCATCATCTAGGGGAATGGCTTTTTTTTTCGTCTTTGCTGCAGCTCTAGGGGAATGCTGGTTGTCTGTCTTGCATCATCTAGGGGGGGGGAATGCAAATGTTCTGTTTGCCTGCATCTAGGGGAATGGCTGGGGTTTCTGGGTTTGCATCATCTAGTGGAATGGCTTTTTTTTTGTCCACTTAGTCTTTTAGGGAATACTAGTTTTGTTGAAAATTTCATTAGAAGGAAATGACTGGTGTTCTGTCTTGCACTGCAGTCTAGCAAGGAATGACTGGTGTTCTGTCTTGCACTGCAGTCTAGCAAGGAATGACTGGTGTTCTGTCTTGCACTGCAGTCTAGCAAGGAATGACTGGTGTTCTGTCTTGCACTGCAGTCTAGCAAGGAATGACTAGGTTTGTCTTGCACTCGTTAGCAAGGAAAGCTGGTGTTTGTCTTTACTGCTAGCAAGGGAAAAACTGGGTTTCTGTTTGCACTGAGTCAAAAAAGGAAAGATGGGGTTCTGTCTTGCAAAGCAGTTAGCAAGGAATGGGTGGTTTTTCTGTTTTTGCAATGCGTCTTGAAGGAATGGGCTGGTTTCTGTTTCATTGGGAGTTAGCAAAGGGAAAAAATAGTGTTTTTCTTGCACGGCAAGGGGGTAAACAAAAGGGGGGGTAAAGAAAAGGGTTTTTCTGGGGGGGCTTGGGGGTTCCGTTGGAAAAGGAAAAGGAAAGGGGTGTTCTGTTTGCACTGCAGTCTTTGCAAGGAATGGGCCTTGGGTGTTCTGTATTGAACGCA